TGTTAATCGGGAATTTCATTCTCGAAAATAAATATATCGATCGTTGAAAAAATATGGACTCTCTTACACATAGATAAAATCAGATCAATAAAACAGATGATACAAAGATGTTTATTACGCCAAGTTCCTTCAGAACATAACTTGTATTTAGTGAAAAACAAATTTTTTAAATATAATTAGTTTAGTGTTACAAAACAATAAGAATATACTATTCTTTCAGTGAAATTTAATTTGTTGCTGTTTTTTCACCTGATGTTTTCATCTTTCTGCTGTATATACGATTGATATGTATGGGCTAGTTTTAATATGGCATAAGCAACTGTGTGAGGAAAAAAGATAAGAATAACTATGATATTGGTACAAATCATCAAATGTTTTTCAGGATTGTAGAATACAAATCTCATTAGAAAAACTTTGAAAATATTTCAAATATTTTACTGCATTTATACTTTTAGTATTTGATGTTTATTTCAACTACCATTGTGTCACACAATTCTAAAATGTTTTGCTTCTCTTGAGTCCTATTTCTTCTTGAGTTCTTCTTCTGTTTCTCTCAATCGATGATCAAATAATAGTTCAGATTATATAATTCTTTGTCTCTAATTCAGGCTACAACTTGAAGGATAAAATTTACGATTAGCTAATAGCAAGCAGTAGAAACGTTTTTACATATCATATGACTTTGAATGGATTTTTTTCATTTATTAAATTACTCTTTCAGAAATATATAATTCTAGATATTTTTGTGTATTTTTCAAAATTTATAGATCCATTCTTGTTACTTTCGAGAAACGAGAATCGTAAAATCATTCCGAAAACAAATGAAAATTTTTTACATTTCATAATAAAACTCATAAGAGTAAGAACCTATAATTTTATATCAGTGAATAAGAAACCAATTATCTAGATCACAAATATATATAGTCATCGATTGATTTAAATAATACTTTCATATTTCGTATCAAAAAAGTTTACAGATTAGGTTTAATCAAGGATTTATCTTTCAAGTGAAACAAACAGATGAAAAATAAAGCAACAACTCTTTTCTCATGTGAAAGTTGAACAGAACTCAGATTTGAACTAGTTGATTCTTTTCTAATCCGACCTCGTTCCAGAAACGGACATCGATGTTATTTTCACTTCATAAATTCCTTGAATGTTTTTCTTTTCATATGCATGACACGAATATGATAGATTTGTGAAGTATAAAAGGACACAAATCCAAGAAATATTCATTTTATCATCAATGAACTCTTGCCATTCTCAAATTTATTCATGTCACAAGAAAAATTGTCAAAATCTTAACATGATTTCCAAATCATTCTTCAAATTATGCACATCGATGCCATATTCTTCGGATTCCTTCTAGTGCATAACAAAAAATATCATTTAATAAATATATCAAAAATTTTCGAAAAAAATCTCTGTTCTTTTGCCCATGAATAAAAATTTCTAAAAGCTATATTATAATTTACTATGATGCTTGCTTAGTACAATTCAATGTCTCATCATAATCTACAAGGAATAGTATTATCTATTTTAAAAATTCTAGCCACTTTTTGTTTTTCGTCATCAAACATTATTTTCGTTTGTTTAGATGGATTTTTGATGAGATCTATCTATATTTTTACTTTATACGAGGATTTAAATTAATTACTTTAGAAATGAATGAAAAATGTTCATGAAAGTAAAATGAAACTAAGGCATTTGATTCAGTTTTAATTATTCAAGTTTATTCTCCTCTTCTATCATTTGTTATCAAACTGCCTATTTATAGTAGATCTATTATAACTAATCTTCTTCAAAAATGTGCTCTCGGAGTGTCATTCATTCCGATTATGTTGTCTTTTAACAAAGTCTAAACATGTACAGTGTGCCACATCAATTTGGAAGTTAAAACTAGTCGAGTAATAAGTTAAGTTTTAATTTTTTTTATTGTTTCATTTAGTCGATGACAAAAGTCTTGTCCATCTTGAAATGAATTTTTTATTTGACTTTTGACGTATGAGAATAGAATGCAACACATGTATACAGAGGAGTTCGAGACATTTACGTAGTACATAACAGTTTTATAAATCTGTGCTACTTCTTTGAACAAAGTAAAAGTATGTAAATACATCCATTTCTGGACGACTTGTTTAGAGATGAGATGGACTGTGTGAAATGAGTCGGTCCACCTTTCAAACTGACAGATTTCTAGTGAATGAATGGCAATTCGAAATTTCGTGCTCAGTATTTTTGGTATTGCCCGCTGACGGAGCATAGATGAAGCTCTTCTCTCTGAATGGTCAAAAGTTATAAACTCGAACTCACTTAATACTAGCCATCTAGGGGTGTGGGTGGGTATGGGTGTGGGTGTGGTTCCTCTCTTCATTCTCACCCACACCACGCCCACACCCGCACCCATACCCACACCCACCATCTGTACAAAACTCAGTTCAGAGATCCTTTGCCAATGTACCTGTTATAATTCATATCATGCTGTGTTAAATTATCGTTACAATACAGACAATACTTTTGTTCACAGTTTTAGCTATCTTTTATGATTGTATGAGTACTTATCCTATAGAGTGTTTACTCCGTTCGATTAACCAAACTGGCTCATAAGGATAGACGATTCGTCTAATATGTGATTTATTATTGGAATCGACAACATAATGGTATTTCGGATCCTGTCAAACAAAAGTAGTCTAATGTGAATTTTGGTTTTGACTAAGATAGTTATTGACTTTTGTTAAACTTCAAATGTCATTCATTCATGCTTTTCTCCTTTATAAAAAAATGTTCTACATTATATTTTAGATGATAAAAAGTTGTTCAAGAAAATGTGAACTTGATATTTTTGGTTTATTAGAAACTGCTCTAATACATATTTGATTATAGATAAGTAACTGGTTCATTATCATTATTCATGTCAGTAAGTATTTCATTTTTCTCATTAAATAATTCTTGTGGTGTACCATATTTTGCAACGATACCATCATTCATAATAACAATTTTATCACTATCGATTACTGTATGCAGACGATGTGCAATGGTTAAAACAGTATGATTCATAAATTTTTCGCGTAAAATTTTTTGAATTAATTCATCAGTTTTTGTATCAACATGTGCTGTTGCTTCATCGATTAGTAAGATTTTACTTGGTTTTAGAATTGCTCTTGCTACACAGATTAATTGGCATTCACCAACACTAAAATTACTTCCATATTCTGCTATTTGTGTACTTAGTTTATCTTTTAAATTTTCAATCTTTCTTTTTAATTGAACTGCTTCTAAGACATCCCATAATTGCTCATCCGTATAATGATTGAATGGATCTAAATTATATCTCAATGTATTACTAAATAAGACGGGAGATTGCGGGATAATATTTAAATTTGATCGTAAATCATTTAAACTAATTTTACTAATGTCAATTCCATCAATTAATATTTTGCCATGTGTTATTGATTTATCAGTGAATCGGTAGAGTGCTTGAAAAATAGACGATTTACCAGCACCTGTACGTCCAATAATACCAATTTTATTGCGTGGTTCAATTTTTAAATTAATACCTTTTAATACAGGTTCAAGCTCTGGACGATAGCTTAATTTATAATCGTCGAATTCGATTCTTCCTTCTGTTGGCCAATTAGATGGTTTTTCTAATTCTTCTTTGTAAAATCCTGATTCTGGAGGAATATGAGAATATTCATCGATTCTCTCAGTACTAATCATATAATTTTCAGTTGCAGCCGACTGACGTACTCCTCCTTGAAAAAGATCTAATAAGTTTATAGCATATGCCAAACCCAATGCTACAGACGAAGCATCCATATTCTGACGTAAGGTTATCGATAAGATTGCTGTCAAAAACGTTATGGAACACGTCATTAGGTCTAATCTTAAACCAAACCATCTAGTCAAAGCAATGAATATGAAAAGTGCACGCGTATTTGTATTATTTTTGAAGATAAATGAATTGAGGAAATGATTTTCTACTTCGAATGTTCTAATAGTCATTAGTCCGCTTAATGATGAGGAAAATAATGCATAAATTGGACTTCGACTTACACTTTCTAATCGTTTTATTTCTCTACTTGTTCTTACATAGATTCTTCTTAACCAAAGAAGCATTGGGATAATGATTATCAATATCAATAATGCCCATGGATTTGAGATACCAATAATAACAATACTACCTAATACCATGGTTAGTGATTGAATTGTATCAAAAAATGTGACTGGCAATAATTCATCGATAACTTGTTGATCTTTACTAAATCTATTTAATATACGACCAACTGGATTACTCTCATAAAATCTCAATGAACTGTATAAAACACCTTTCAACATACAATCGTGAAATACAGATGCTCCACGTAATATAATATGGAAAAAGTAATCAGCGCGAATTATTGCCATTAGCCATGTGCCTATTACTAGTCCTAAGTATACATATAGATAGTGACTTTCGCGTTGCTCTACTTCTAATTTTGACGACCATATACTTAACCATTTGTTAGTTGCATCATATATACCTTGACCCAACAACATTAAAAAAATCAATACTATGAACCCAGTCCAGCCATAACTAGCGGTAAATAATCTAAACCAAATATAAACACTAACCTTTCCACCAACAGATGTTTCGTCTATGGCAATACTAGTTTTATCAATAGTTTCCGATGGTTTCATAGAATCATTATCATCATCATAAACACTATTATAATTTTGAGTTTGGTTTTTTTCTGTTTCGTTTGTATGTTTTTGTTGATTTTCGTAGTTTTGTTTAACTTTATCTATTGTCAGTAATTCATTAAATAAACCTTGTTTTTCTATTTTACCATGATCTAATAAAATACAATGATCAAATTCGGATAAAAATTGTATTTGATGTGTAACTAGCAAGCGTGTTTTATCATTTAAAATACCTTGATTACTAATGCACTGCTGGAAAATTTTTCTAGCAATTGTAGGATCAACAGATGCTAAAGGATCATCAAACAAATAAATATCGGCTTCAGTATATAAAGCTCGAGCAAGTGAAACACGAGCTTTTTGTCCTCCACTCAAATTCACTCCTTTTTCTCCTATGACTGTTGAATCTCCAGCTGGAAATGATTGTAAATCAGTAATTAAACAACATGATTGCAACACACGTTCATATTTTTCTTTATCAAAGTCTTTGCAAAACAATATGTTTTCGCGTATCGTACCAGAAAATATCCATGATATTTGAGATACATATGCAATTTTACCATATATCTTACTACTACCTTGAACAAGAGACATTTCACCTAGTATTGCTGCTAACAGAGATGATTTACCCGATCCTGTTGCTCCTACAACGCCAGCTAATGAACCAGCATTTAAATTCAAATCTATTTCAGTTAGTTGAGCAGATTGAATGGAACTCCATGTAAATGAGGCTCGATCCATTACTATACTACCTGGTATAAGTTTAGAGATGTCTGTAGTCTGTTCTTCTAATGTTTTCGCATGAGTCTGTTTCCATAAATTCATGAATTGATTAATACGTTTTGACGCTATTAGACTTTCACTTAATGTCTCAATAGCAGAAGGAAAGCCAGAAGTAATTTGATTTCTAATTATACCAAACAATGACAATATTGTAAATATATTTGCACTGGACAATGTATGACCCATCAACCAGCTTCCACCAAATGTAGCTAATGAAACTAATGAGACTGATGAAAAATAAATAGCCATATTAATTGCTCGAATTCGATTCGCTTTTCGAATACTTTTAAATTCTTTTTTTCTTGTATTATGAACAACTGTCTCCAACGCTTCTTCCCATCGATACATTTTAACAATTTGTGCACCAACCAATATTTCATTGGTCATTTTTACACGTTCATCGGTCCATTGCATGGTATTTTTTCTATATGTTCCAAATTTTTTACTAAAAAATAATTGTAATGGTATTTGCAGTAAGAAAACAGCGTAACCGAACAATGCCGGAATGCCAATTTGGTGCCAAATTATACCAAAGACAATAAGTGCTTCGACTGGTGTAGCCCATAAATGATGAATATATTTGTATAGTTCTTCAAATTTACTGACATCATTTGAAATTAAATTCACCATTTGACCTGTTGTCGTTTCAATAATTGCTCTTGTTGGTAATGATAATAGTCTTTTATAAATAAGAGATGAGAGTGCAATGCGTATTTGAATTCCAATTCGTGCTGCACGAAAAAAAAATTGATGATGCATTAATGCTTGCAAACCGGTTGACAGTCCTAATCCAATGGCATATAAATAGCCCACGTATGAAGCTCGATTTGAATCATTAATAACAAGAACGATTTCTCTGATGAGTAATGGTTGAGCTACTTTTGAACCAAGATATGGAATTAGCAGTAGACCAATACCTAAACTCTCTTTCCACCACGCTTTTGCAACTATGTTCCATGTGTTAATATGTTCATATTTATTTTCAAATTTTTCCCATACCGTTTCAAGTTTCTTTAATAACTGACTACATTCATCATTTGGCGATACATCAAATAAATTGTCATCTGTTAATTTACGTTTGTCATCAATATCTAAAATTGGATTTAACCACCAAAAAAATACAACATAAATCCATCGTATCCAAGATGATTCAGCCCAATCTAGTCTACAAGGTCTCCGATAACTAGAAGACATGATAACAGAAAAATCATTCTTATCTGTTGTTATTGTCGTTGTCTCTGGATTGGTTATGGATGGGTTATTGTCATTGGTCATATGTTTGCTTATTAGAAGATAAAACTAACACCTACAATACATCAATAACCACTATAGTATTAATTCAGGTATAATGAATAACCTATAGAAATCTTTGCAATTCCTATTTCAGAATAGAACAAGACGAAGATGAAGAAAAGATAATTTAGTAAATATGAGAATGAGGATGTTTTGTAGAAAAATTTGTCATATTCAACAACATAGAAAAATCTACATCCATAATGTATGGTTCAATAAAGCTCGGGGTTGGTCTGATTCAAGTACCTGTTTTTCTTCCTTTTGGTCGAATTCGAATATCAGATAAGGCCTCTTGAAAGAGAATCTTTGTACATAGAAACAAAGAAAATTACTATGGATTGTGTTTTTAAATATTTCTTTATGATGTCTAGTAAATCTTAAAACGAAATATGCACTAGAACCTGATACATTGAAGAAAACTATAGTACACTAATATTCCACAAAGTGGCAATATTACTTCGGTTTATTCTAATAAAAATAATACCAAAGAAAAGGACTGTAGAAATATTATCCTCAAAAAGAAAGATGTTCAACGAAAAACACAACTAATTAGTGGCATAGCACGATTTATCTTGAAAGTGCTTTGTTGCTTGAAATACCGACGACAAAGACAAAAACAAGTCAATATCTCTCAAAAAAATTCATTACTGATCAAAGAAATATGTTGGGGGAATAGTTAGATGAGCGCAACTTTGTGAAGTAAAGTGCACATTAAGTAAAAACAAGTCCTATTCTGAAGGAAAGACTGAAGACGAATTTGAGTTGACGCTCATAAAAGGTTGAAGATAAATCGTATACCTTTCATAAATCAAATTATTTTATTGTGTTGGGCTATAAACCTACGATAAGAAATGATTGACGATCGCAGGGTATTTTTATATGACTAGTCGATTCTTATACATTGCAAAATAAAAGAAATATGAAAAAAACTACAACAATCAACAAAAACCTTGATTGCTTTAATCATAAATCAGCTTCTAATGCATCCCGTGAACCTGGCAGATGAAGAAGAAATATATCTGAACTAGAGATCGAACCAAGCCGAGATTTACTAGCTCAAGTTTGTTTTGGTTCATATTAATGCGTGATAAATGTTTCATTTGCCTCTTAATTTATACTAAACTCAAACTATTACTAATTTAAATCTATTCTAAATGAAAGTTTTTAGAAATTATTTTTTGATATAATGAATTTTTCTAAATTTAAATTTATCGATCGAATCGTCAAAATGCATGACTTTAAAAAAAATAGGCCAAAAGTAAGCAGAGAAACTAAAGGGTGGCGACTAAAAAGTTTCGACCCCTCTTGGTAAATCGATGGTATTCAGCATAAACTTATATATCTTTAATTAATTGACCTATGTAATTTTGTAGAGAAAGAGTAGAGCTATCATCTAATTAAGAGATACTTCGAAACGGTCAAGTATAAGATAACATTATGGTCATTTTTTTCATCTTACATTTTTTCAGAAAAATAAATAACAGAGTGTGGGTGTTCCTTCGACTCATACCCACATGCATATTCATACCTTGTTATTTATTTTTCTGAAAAAATGTAAGATGAAAATATCTACTTAAGATGAATAAAATGACCATAATATTATCTTATACTTGACTGTTTCGAAGTATCTCTTAATCAGATGATAGCTCTACTCTTTCACTACAAAACTACATAGTTCGCTTAATTAACGATAAACAAAGTTGTCATAAATACCATCGATTTACTAAGAGAGGTCGAAACTTTTTAGTTATTCTGTAGTATTATGCTTTAAAATTCGATCATCTCCCCAGAAGATTTGGTAAAAAAAACAACTATCTTCAGTTTCTATTATTTTGGAATCAGGCTAAAAATATATCAGAAACATACCTTTGATAGTAGGCTTGAACGGTAAAAGGTTTCTTGTAATTCTTTATACAATCATATAACTTTAAATTTAACTTCAATTAATTAAAATGGAACTTAAAGATGTACTTTAAACATATTTAGAGGTGTAAGCCGTGCGGCTGAGCCGCCGTCGCCGCCGACAGACTCGAAAAATTTTAAGCCGCCGCCGCCGTGACAGTAGAAATTTTAGAAATTTTTAAGCCATCGCCGCTGAGACACTTTAATTGCAGCCGCCGCGCCGCCGATGGTATTCAAAATTTTAAACTTCTCGAGCCGCCGCCGCCGTTGGCAACTAGCATAAATAAACGTTTTATTTATATTTTCTTTAATTCGATACTTTGACATCTTAGAATCCCAATATATCTCTTCTTCATTATCTTC